ACCTACATCACAATCACAGCATCTTCTAACTAAAATCAGTGACCTAGTCACCTACCGTTACCACGATGGAAAAAGTAGTAAGGTAAAAGTAAAAGTCAATTAAGACCATTTACTTGGGGCATGGGAAGTTAACCCCTCGCGTCCAACATTTTGCACATTTTTAATTAATTTTTAATGACTTTCTGTGTAAGTAATTATTCATAAGCTTATTGACTAATAAGACTATAAATGTAGTGATTCTGTTTTAACATGGATGGTTATAATTTCTCGAAATATGGGTTGCCGTAACACTCGAATCGATCCATTTAAATCCGCTGAAATATTGACGTAAACGATAAACCATACAAATTCTGTATATTGTACACAACAATAGATTTTATGATGGGACCACTGTTTTAGATCACTTTACGCGACTTTTAAAAAATACGAATTTTCCGTGGTCACGGCTGGGTGGATTTTGTTCACATTTTGGATATGTATATTAGGTATACGGATTACGGAAACGAAAAATAACCGGCCGGATCTTTGGAAAAAGTTTTAGAGCGTCGCAATGACATCGAACTTTTTTTTAAATACCAAAATGTTTATTACGTTATTCGAAAGACCTTATTTTTCTGTATATAACCTACAAAAATTGTGCCAGGTTTTAAGACAAAAAATATCCAAGTTAAAAAACTAAAATATTTTAAATAAATAGATAATAATAAATAAAGGATGTAAAACTGTCAAAAACGTTTTTTTTTTATATCTGAGTCTTTAGCGCCGTGACATCATAGAACTTTTTTTTCAAATAGTAGGTAATCCACATTTTTTATTAACGAACGTAGTTTTCGAGTGGTTATTCATTCAAATACGAGTAACGTTGACTATAGACATTAAATGAATTATTAGGAATAAACACAGACAAAAATAAAAAATGCGCGTGAATTGTCGCACCAACGTGAGGCCCGGACCGAGGCGTTTACGAGAGAACGGTTCATAAAATAAAAATTATCGATTATCGCGAACTAATTAGAATTATTAACTGAATAAAGGGTAAATTCGCTTTTTTCCGAGTATCACTAAGACATGGAATTCGGAGAGAACAGTAATGCAAATAGCGTGTTGTATACGATACTTTTGAAGCAAGTATTTTTGCCTAGAAAAGAACTCAGTTTCAGAGGATGATTTATTGGTGTTTAACTATACCTGCATATGCCAGACGAATTGGGGTGTAGCGGTCATTTCTTTTGTGAGTTGCAGTAAACTTGGCGACTAACAGTCCTAATGAATTTATATATAGGGTGTCCCATTTATCTTGAGATTATTGCGTAAACTATCGGGGAAATCAAAAAATGCTTTTTATAAAATATTCTTCATATGTATGAACTCATTTAATGATGCATGCTATGCACATGTTCACATAATTGTCCTTTAGGGTTAAGTTTAGTGAAAGGAAACTTAATTTTTTCAAATAGAGACCTATACCTTTTATTGAATTTTTTTATTCTACATCGAAAAATAATCAACTTCGTGGGAAACGTATTTTCTCTACACACCATATTCAAAGACATGATTTTTGGTTTGAGCTAGGAAGCTGTTCTGTCAGCAATTTATTATACCCTTACCTTTAAGGATTTTTTCCATTTGACCGCTTTTTCAGAGAAACAAAATCGCACTGATTGTTAAGTTTTAAATTGAGACACAGGTCAAAATCTCTTGTCACATTCACATAAATTGTTTAAGCACTTTATCGAAAATTTTTGATTGCCCTTCGCAAATGTCATATTTTTAAAAAATTTCAAATAGCACCCCCTTAAACATTTACCTCTATGTACCTCTGGATAGGTGAAACTACAACATTTTTACTGTACTGTTAAACATTAAAATCTCGATTAAAATAAAACCTAAGTTTGACACGCCACTGGAATACAGCACGTCAGTGGTGACCAGAAATATTTTAGAAACGAGGGGTCTTATTGGGTTGGGTCTCTCAAAACCGAAGGATCGGAGCTTCCGATCTGGTACGTATTACCATTGTATTTATAAATACAATGGTATTACGGTTTATTTAAGAACTTTATTTGGCAATAAAAACGTGATAAAAAATCTACAATTTGGTAAATTACAGTAATCAAATCCGTTGTTGAATTCGTATTATATTGTTTTACGTATTTCTAATGATAGCGAGGTCATTCTTAATTGTATAGGTAGGTTTTCTAAAGGAAGGCTAGATTTCCCTCGCGTTTTCTTGCCGGCAATGCGTGCAAACAGCATCACGACCAATCTAATAATTAAAACAACATTCTTTGCAGTTATTTAGTATTTGCTCATTATGTCTATTATTTACGCTCGCACATCCATTATTGATTGAATATCTGAGTATACAGGGTGTCTCATTGGACTTTTTTGTTTAATGCAAAACGTATTGTATAATGCTCAAAGCCCATTTGCAAAAGATATACTATTGGCCCACCCCCACTCCCCGCAAAATTTTAATAAATACTGCACTACACTTAGAACAGTCTGCCAAAAGGAGTCCCAATGTCAAATCAACAACCTCCTGACTTCGCGCTGTGGCGAAGGTAGGAGCGTCTCCCTGATTTAAAACATTCAAATCAGTTTTTTGCAAGTACTCCAGAAGGTGGTCTCCTCTCGACTTCGTGTCCGTGCTACCCCACGCAAGATGGTGTGCGTTTGCATCACAAGTAACCACAAGAAGGAGCCCACTATTTCGACAGTACTCAGCCAGCTCTTTGGTTGGTGGAGGCTCTTCCGAGTCGTACGGGAGATAGGCTGAGCAGACCACCAAGTGCCTGCTCCGTCCTCTGTCATCTTTCAGCTGAAGTCTTAAAGCTAGGAGATCCCTGAAATAAATCAGCCATTAGATAGGTAAGACTTATAATAAAGATAATCATTGAGCCCTCTCGGTCGCAATGGCACTATGGGCCACTCGCTTTCGTCACAAACGTTCTGCCGCTGGAGTGCCTGATAGGATGCCTTATCGACACCATCCATATACTCCCCTGAAACCAGGATTTTTGCCTCTGGAGGCGCTTCAAGATGGCGGCCGTGTCATTCGGGAGCTCGTATAACACAGCCATCACCTTGGTTACGCTAGGGACAGGCCTCCGAACTTTCAGAGACGCGGTATCCCAGAGTCTAATAAGTCCTCTCCAACCAGTCCAAGGTCCACTGGTTCTCGCATTCCCTGCTAGCTGCTAGCCGATTCAGTTGTATGGGCGTCCCCCTATCCGCCACCCAGAGACGGGTACCTCCACCGCACAGGAACACTTTGTCATCTGACCTGTTACCTGTTATGGTGGGTTTTTCCAACACTGTCTCACTTGTAAAGAAGCTTTTAGGACACACCATAGATCAATCGTAAAGCTGTTAATATTCCCAAGACCAAAGTAAAACTTTTTGTTATGGTTTATATGTGTCACTCCTAAACATAATGTGTACGGAATGCAATAAAAATATCTTGCTTCGTTAACATTTATTGCAAGTTATAAAATTGCACCGGTCACGGTTGATGCACATTTTTTTGTGTTTCTACTCTCATTCGTATCATCTGTTGTAATTGCAAAAAGTAGGCCAAGCCAGGGGCGTAATATCTCCGTGAAGGCGTTACACTAATTTTACCTTCCTCAGCTTCTGCGACGCAAACATATCGATGATATTTACGAAATCAGTTTTTCCGTTTCTTCGCGCTCTATACTAACTTACTGAGCTAGGTTCTCATACCTAACCTTTGTCCCATTATTGTAGCTCTCAAATACAAAAGTATGAAGATCGGTCGGTCGGGATTAGTTAAAGTAGACTCACCTCACAAAATAAACTTCACACGAAGTGTCGAATTCGAACGAACAAATGCGTCCTTCATCGGCACCACTTGAGCACACCACTGATTCTGTTAGATTGTTTGATATGATGTCGATTGTTGTGATATCTTCTCAATTTTTTAAACTTAATAATTGGCGATTTTAGCGTCCCCCTTTGAGCGGCAAAGGGCACGCGCCCTACCAGCCCTACCTTAGCTACGCCTCTAGCTCAAGCAATAATTTTTGTCGTGTTTTTGTTAAAAATACTACATACGTGCAAGAATTGTGTTCTCCCAGCTGTTTACCTGACTGATTTAGATATCAGCACTAAAGCGGTCCATACACGATCAATATTTACGTCAATATATTGCACAAGAATTTACATTGTACAATAGTATTGAGCGTCTGTAGGGCACATTGAAAGATTGCGTAATATATTGAGTCAATCAAAAACTGTTTGATTTTTATTGTGCAATCTAGTAAATATTGGTGCGTCTGTTGGTAATATTGTGCAATGTTCAGTTCTGTGTTAACAGAGTAGGAATAAACATCGACCATGGCTACAAATAAGGGGAAAGATGAAGAAAGAAAGTTCATTTTAGAATGTATCGAGGTGTATCACTTGGTTCATTAATTCTTAGTTCATTTAACAGATTGTCATGAGTGTACTTATTTCTTTTTTTAAACCATTCCTCCATCCACCTGCACTTCTTTTTTTTCCTTTTTTTTTCAAGCTATAACTAAAGCTATAGCCACACGACTTACTGTCTTCTTATTATTCCAAATGTTGACTGCACAAATATCACCCTGCGAACTAATTTATTGAACAATAATATTGCACCGTGTGGGTTGGGCAAATAATAGTATTGCACAAAATATTGTACAATATATTGACGTAAATATTGATCGTGTAGGGGCCGCTTAAAGACTTCGTATATGTTTCTTCTTGGGCAACAAATTATCGATAACTTTTCATCTTATAATAATTTAATTGATAACTTGATCACGGATAAACGATTATAATCGATTATTTATTAACGGTTTTTATTTGCACCGTACCTATTAGTTTTTACAGGGCTAGCGAAAGGAATAGATTTTATCTACACGTGTGCATTATTTCAACGTTGGTATTTATGATTTACTTATTCTCCTTCAAACAAATTTCTGGATTTTTTTAAATGTATGTTTTTGTTCCAGGATTTGGAATTCCACGGTGTGATGCGCTTTTATTTTCAAGACTCGGGCCAAAAAGTTGCAACAAAATGTATACGGGTAGCATCCGACGCTACCGTTGAAGATGTGATAGGAACCTTAATAGAAAAATTTAGACCCGATATGCGTATGCTATCAGTGCCTTCTTACGCCTTATACGAATTGCACGAAAACTGTTCCGAACGGCGAATGGCCCCCGACGAAAAACCACTACTCGTTCAATTAAATTGGCACGTTGACGACCGGGAAGGGCGATTCCTGCTGAAAAACATCGACGAAAAAACGGTAACGTTTCGAGAAACTGTCACGTTTCCATTACTTAGCCAATCGTTCACCTTGCAGAATAACTCCATTGAATCCCACGACTCGAACGCTAGTTTTAGAAGAAAATTATCAAAACGCGAAAAGAAGCAGCTAAAAAAGCAGGAAAAGTTACAAAGGATGAAAAGTGAAAATGGCCAGCGGAAGAACAAAAACGACGGGGTCGCGGAAAAATTATACACAGGTAACAATTAAGCAGGCACGAAATGAATGAAAGAAAGAGTTCGCTTAGATTATAATTTAACAATGTAATGATATCTCGTAATACTTTTCATGGTTTCTAACTTAAATAAATGAAAGTTGTAATTTGGAACACGTTAACGAGCGTTGCTGCCTGCTTCGTTTAACGCGTCAATACACCTCCGATCTATTAATTGATTGGTGCTTGCTTCAGAATTACCGGAAACGTCGTTCACGAGATCTATTTCGAATCCCGAGGCGGTCATGAGGCGGCGAAGGCAGCAGATATTGGAGCGGAAATTGCAGCAGTTTCGATCGAAAGACGGCGGTCCAGATACAGGTAGGATCGTTTTGCAAAAAAAAAAAGAAAAAGCAAATAGACGAGAAGTTCGGTTGAAGTAGAGAATTGTGTTTTGTCATAAATACCAAGACTGATGGAGGAGAAAGGGCGTCGGTAAATTTCTAGGAAAGTAAATGGTTCCTGTATTCTAACGAATCTTTTAAACTCCTACCATTTACATAAAATATTTAATTGTTTCCAATTTGCATCTTAGTTAGCTAGTTATAATTGATATAGGGTGCCTTATTTTCGATGTGCATCGAATTCCTTATTACCCTACCTTCAGATCCCGCTATCCGTAGAAAACTGACTGCAATTTGTTCTGTCTTAATTTTTGAAGTACGAATGGTGTCGACTGTTGGCGCCGACACTGTATGGAACATACCTTATGCCAGTTCATTGGCTAGCCCTCTTTGCAAGAATGTGGGGGCTGTAGTCCCAGGAGGAATGGTTATTATTTTGGAAAATTAAAGTAGAGATTTTTTGAAGACGAAAACGCTCGCAAACTATAGTTTTATTCTCACCACAGTTTTCTTTTGTAATGATGTAATTCTGGGTCAAAAATTGTGGAGCAAGGTGTGCCCCAAATTCATCATTCTTCAGGTCATTTTTGCATCTTTTTCCACTTCTCTTTCAAACACATGCTTCACCTTTTCTTCGCGCATAATTCATTCACGCCTCTGTGAAGCGTTCTTCATTATCCCTCCTCGCCATCCCTGCTTCCAACCTATCTCACCCTTGCTCCTGCACGTTCTCTTCACATCTCTTTACGCTTCATTCAGACGCTCTCGTGGCTTCCTTCCAGCGTGTCCTTATCGCGGTTTCACGCGTACTGCCCCACGGATACCTCGGACCAACTCCCATCGACCATTCGAATCTATTCTACCAAACTTCTGGAACCCAATGAAATCACCAGAATGTCTAGATACCTCAAAACACGCCCCAAGTCTTTATACGCAAACAACTCGACAGGACCGTACTCAGAAACTATTCGCCCAAAATACAAAAATCGATAAAAATTAAAAGGCGTTAGTGGTTTTAAGAATTTGTGTTATCCAAAGTAACATTGTGGTCTTCGAGCACTTATATAAATTTACTATTAAACAACCATCAACTACTGAAAGCGAGAAAAAATTGTTTTCCAGCAATATAACTATTCCGCTTCTAAAAATAACGGTTTCCGGTTCCGATTCTGTTACGGTCCAGGTATCTATTCTTAACATATCTGGAAGTCCATAAATAAACGGTTTTTTTACACTTTTGTCGGGGACAGGAATTTTTCAGGCAAATCAATCGTTCAACCAATAAAAAAAGTTGATTCTGTTCATACTATGTGTATTTTTGTAACTGTATTGTTAGGGTCTACTGCCAAGGGCAATCTTTCAGTAAAACAAAAACAATTGTTCTGCGCATGTGCACATTTTAGCTAGCATAACTGTGAATTTTGTTTTATTAGGCCTTTTTTTCGATGAACTAAAGACCGATGTGAAGTGCGATTAGCTTATTAATACGGGAGTAGCCGAGTAAGTCGAGATTGACATTGAAATAGTGAAATAGACGTTAAAATGTTACAAGAGCGTAAATTACAATAAAAGACAAAGACGTTAAATAATTTTACTTTTAATTTAACAGTCTAAAAATGGTTACAATCTGATTATATGCGTGGGTATTGTATACTTACGTAGGTGAAGGGGAGAACGATCGCGGATTTGGATTGGAGTCCGGATGAAGAATGGAAACCATTTCCGCCAAAAACGAGACTACTTTTTTTAACATGTTCGATAACTAGCAAAACGCAAGCTTTTGTTCATTTCTTACAGAAAAGCCAAGTACTAATGCGTTTTTTCCGTGCACAATTCATACTTAAGTAACATTGACCTGTTAAACAAAATGAACTGTTAAGGTTAACCCTCATTAATAAAAGATTCATTTCAAAAAGTAGCGTAGGTACTTGTAACTCGAAATAAATTGTTTTTTAATAGTTAAACATTATACCGATCTTCCTTTGTGTAAGACGGTAGTACAAATATTTAAAAATTACATCAGCAAATCGTGTGAAAAATGAATAATTTTGTTAATTACAAATAGCAATTAAATTCTTCAAGGAAATACTTATTCCGTGCGATTCATTACAAGCATGTTACTTCGTACCATGAAACTGTTGTTCCTATATTTCTTGAATTTTTTGTTTCTTTGTATACCTACCCGTTGTGTATTCTATTTAATACACGTCATTTATATAATTTATAATTGCACGTTATTGAATAATTATAAAGAGCTGATATAGAAATCACGGCGCTTAATGAACTGTTAGGCAACCTAACTTTTAATTGACTATAAATCTAAATATGGCATATGAACCACTTTGTTGCAACTATCGTCTATTACTCACTATCTTTATGTTATCTATAGTGTTCTAAATTTATTGACATTGCTTTATTAAATATGAGTACCTGGTTGCTACGTCATGTTGCTCTGGAGGGTATAGCCTTTGAAACTGCAGCTGGTAGCAATGTAGCATCATTGAATAATAAATCTGAATTATTATTCAATGGTAGCATGATTAAATTGTGTGCAATTTTCAAACATCAGAACCCTTTATTACTCGTGTTGCTGGTTCGCCCGTCCGTGTGAGAAACTTCGAATTTGTTTTTATTAATTTGGTTTATTTCTCATTTGATAGGTATAGGGCCATTCCCATTCCGGCTATTATTACCCGTAAGTATAGCGCGATAGAAACATACGATGCCCCATCATTGTTTCAGTGTTTTTACTTGGCACTTTTTGGTAACGAAAGAAAATAGTTGCTTCATTCGTCTACCGGTAGCGATGCTAACGTTGATGTAAATATATGTCCTACATAGTCTGTCTGGCACATCAAAAGGTTTGAGAAATTTTGCCAGCCATTTTTATGTAGAAATTTCATTTTTCAAAAAAAAAAACCTCTATTCCGTTTTTGGAGACTGCAACCTAAAACTGTTTTTTATGTAGTATATGTATGTGCCAATTAAGTAGCTATGTCAACAAGTATAAATTGCGTACAATTCCTGAGCACATAAACTGCATTTTTAAAACTAAAATATCGTAGTAAATTATTGAGCTTTATTGGGGACAAATGTAGACAAGGTTTGACACAAATTAGTAGTAGCATGCAAAAGGACGGGACACGGGCAAAAGGCAAACATGAGCACTTTTTTAATTAAAAAAATAAGACAAGCATTTTTTCCAAATAAACCGAGGGTTTAAAATGTCTTGTTTAATTTTTGCTCAGTAATCATAACAGATAATAGAAGGATGGACCTAGGTTTCTAGGAATCCCGTTTTGATTTTGTAAATATTTTTTTTTAATTTTGACTTCACGCACGCTCGTATACGAATATGCGAAAGAGTTCTTATTTTTGTTTTTAACGTGAAATTAGCGAATCCGATATTAGTTTTTGAAAATTCCAAAACAATCCAACTTCCAATTCCAACAGTCAATAAAGTCGAGTGGCGTCTCAGTATATGAAGTACATATTCGGGCGTTAGTATGGAGTAACTCTTAAACTATAGGTGGTTCAGGTAAAAAAGTAATCGGACCCAACCTAATTTTTTAAACGGAACACCCTGTATATTTTAATATAAAAAGAGATCAGTTTCTTTTCCAAAATAATATAATAATATAATAATAATAATATTTTTATTCCATGGACCGTGGTAGGTATAGGACATGTCAAATACACATATAATTACTAACAGACAAATAATATCACAGTTAAGCATGTTCAAGGAACTCTTTGATATTGTAAAAATAGTGATTATTTAAGTATAGAAGTAATCTCTTATTAAAGTTATTTTGTGTATTGCAGCATTTAATTTGTTCAGGTAATTTGTTAAACATTTTTACTCCCAGTACAAAGGGTGAGCTCAAGCCAATGTTATATTTGGTGTGCGGAATTCTGTAAAAGTCGTTGTCGCGGAGATTATGATTATGAATGTCTTTGTTTTTATTTAATGTATGTGAGTATCTGAAAATTAGTTTGCATGTTTCTAAAATGTATAAGTTGGTTAGAGATAAAATGTTGAATTGTTTGAAAAGATTCCTGCATGTATGAATTTTTGAACATTCGCAATCGTCCTAATAATGCGTTTTTGTGCAACAAGAACTTCGTGAGAGTAAGTAGATGTGCCCCACAAACATATCCCGTATCGAAGGATAGTGCCCACCAGAGCATGGTAAATGTTTATTAATTGCGCGAGCGTTATAACATTTTTTAAATTTCTAAACAGATAATTTAAGGAGCTCAGCCTAGCAGCCAGCTTTTCACAGTGCTTTTTCCAATTTATATTGTAGTCAATATGTAGTCCCAAAAATTTGGTTTCGTGTACATGCTGCACCTCTTCACCCTGTATTTTTAAAGTCAATATATTTGTTGGTTTTTGGAAGTTATGAAATCTAACAAAATTAGTCTTCCCTCCATTCAATACCAGAGAATTGTTGCTGAACCAGTTGTGTAGTTTGTCAAGGTTCTCGTTGCATAATAAAATATACCCACCCAGCATTAAAAAAATTCAAAAATTTCAAAGATGAAGGTTTTTATATTATTATTTAATCTTATTTAAAATCTTTTTTAACCTTTTTGAATTTTTTCTTTCTCTTGAATCTTTTTTTATATCATCCCTGGTGTGCTACTTTTGAAAAGAGAATTTAATGTGGTAAGTTTACAGATTATAATATACAGGGTGTTCCATTTACAAAAATGAGATTACATCCGAACACTTTTTTTCCTGGTCAGGTATACTTATTTTGAACACCGCAGATTATGCAACAATCGTTACAAAGAAACTTTTGTGATAAATACATTTTAATAACTTAATAAACAAAAAAATTATAGGCTCTTATCATGCAATTTTTGCCTGTAACTCAAAAACAAAAGACTGTACCTAAGTCAGTTTCGTCTTCAACATTGAGTTTATCTCAAACAAAATACATCGAGACTATGAGGTTAATCTTTGACCATCATGTACCTGTACATTTTTGGTAGTTTATCGGCAGTCACAAGAAATCGACAGAAATCGTTGGAAATCATTGTCAGTAGTAAATAATCACGGATTTCATTAGATTTTAGATTTGTTTTAGGTAAGACAATAAAAAAAAATTAAAAAGGATTTTGTTAATTCTCTCATTAATTATAATTAATTAAAAATACAAGAGAGATACAATGTAGGTTAAATTGGGACAAAATTGTCCCTTTTTGTGACTAAAAAAACGCATTTGAAATTTTTGAAAAATGTGACCGAAACCGAAAAACTGAAAATGTAAAATTTCGTTTTCATTATATCTTTCAAGCTTAAACCGTCAGAAATGGACCATTCCCGTTAGCACCATCTACGGGCACTTTTTTCGGAGAATCTGAATTTGTTATCAGAATTTCTATTCTTTTTATCATATGTGATGCTATACGGGCTATACGGGTCTGAAAGTGTGCTAGGGCCAGTTAATTTAGCACTGACTGTATCTGGAACAAATTGTTATTTATTTATTTATTGTCCCTTTTGTTCTGAGCCCTCAACAGGCTTTTACCCATTACAGAGTGACCCGCATAATGCTTTTTAGAGGTGCCCTGGCAGAAGGTCTTAAGGCATTCTATATTGTACTACTGTACATTACGAATTGGGAAAACCTAATCACGAGTAGCAGGCAGAATACTTGAAACTGATTTAAGGAAATTCCCATCTGTGCCACAGATGAAAATTACCTCAGCCCAGGTTTGAACACCCGACCTTTGGCTATCTCTACCACTGAGCTACACAGTCGGTACCCGGAAGGCAGAACTTGGCTAGTACACCCCCCCCCCTCCACCCTACCCCCCCACCCCCCGCTCTTCGCCCGTCAATCATTACCCCATGTACGCAATTTTAGAGGGCGAGTGGACCCCATGAATGACAAAACGTCAAAGATGGTCTGGCGGGCGCTCCTAGCTACTTAGAAAAAGACCTCATTTTACTTGTCAATGCACATAATTTTTTTTTTAAAGTCGCGTGAAAATACTGGTGCATAAATACATAAATAACATACCGAATTTCATGGAATTCTGACTTTTTTTATGTCGCTCCTAGGAGCTCCTGTTCGTCCGTCTCTAACAAATTGAGACCTAGCCTTAGACTATGGGTGCGCCGACATCATGGAGAGGTGAATTTTCAGTGACCCAGGAACTCATTTGCTATATTTGTTACACCTTTTTTTTGCACAGTAATGACTTTGTTGCAATCCGCCTTGACGTGTGGGAGGAACGGCAAGATCTTATCAAGTCACGCCCCAAACATTTTAACCTTAGGCTCTCATATTAGCCTTTTTCCAAATACATCGATCACTATCTTCGGAATTTTCCTCTTGCCCTTCATGTGATTTCGGGGACCAGTTCTAGTTCCACCCATCTACAGAGTGTAGAATCTAAAACCCCTCGGATCATAATTCCTTTATCATAAAAGGTATCGGAGCAGAATTGTGCACAATACTATGCGATCAAAAAAGAGTTGCTGTCGAGTCGCCTTTGGAATTTTTGTTTACTTGGGAAATCATATTTAACTTGAACTTCCAAAGGCGACTCGACGTCAATCCTTTTTTGATCGCCCGTTATTACCGTCGCCATGCTTCTAAAATATTTCTGATCACTAGTGGCACGCAATATTCCAGTGGCGTATCAAACTTCCGATTTATAAATGGAACACCCCATATTTTATTGGAGAATTGGAAATTACTTGAAGAACACTTATTTCTCCGCACTTTGTCCCCAAATGTCTCCAAAAGAAGAAATAAAGCGGCGTAAGTCAAGTGAACCTGGTAGCCGCCTTACTGATCCAACTATCTTGTAAATGGGTTCTCAACAGTTACGTAACTTTTTTCGAGTTGGTGCATCGTCTTGTTGAAACATTACTATACTATTTCTCTCTACTGAGGGAAGATCATCTAGAAAGTCCTCAACGACGAGCCGGTTTATGTTATCATAGTATCTTTGTGAGTTGAGTTTCCCTCGCCAGATCTCATAAATCCAAAAGAGTGCACATCACACACTAAACCAAAATCCCAATGCTTGAATATCCATGGTTCGATGAGGATTGGCATCTGACCACCAGCTATCGTCAAAGATTCCAGCACTACTGGTATGGGCTTCATCTGTCCAGACAATGTTCCTGTAAAATAATGTTGAAGATGGCCAATGATAAAATTGCAGTGTTTGCTCAAAATCATTCAGCAACAGTTGTTGTTTTCTACTGTGTAAGGTGTGAATTCCGGATGCAGCTTTGATTTGGCGACTTGATATAGTGGGATTTGCTGCTAGGGTTCCAATTACACCAATAGTTATTTCCTCCGAATCTTGGATCGTATAATTTTTGTTGTCTCGGCTTCCCAAATGCTCCATAATTGGTCAGATTGGTTATCATCTTACTGGGTATTGATTGAAATATGCCTCAGCTATAGTATTCGAATTTGTTTTTATTAATGCTGAATAAAAAGCAAGAAAATGCTTGTTCTAACTAACAACTTAACTAGACTTTATATTAAAAAAAAACAACTTTGCGCTGAAAATAGCGTCTGAGTAGCATGTCAGCTCATTTTTAATACTGTATAAACAAAGAAGTTATAGGCTTCTATCTAAAATTGGAAAAATGCAACTTTTGCCCAAGGCCAGTTTGGTTTTCAACATCAAGTTTATGTAAAAAAAATACATCGAGACTGCAAGGGTCAATTTCTTTGTAACATTTATTTATATTCTATATTTTAAGAGTTACCCCATACTAACGATAAAGTTTAGTCACTCTGTGCATCCATAATGGGAAGGATATCATCATTCCTAATTATTAGTTCTCTATCCATAAGTATTCTCAGCAATTTTAAGGTCTTTTCTATTTAAGACAAATTGATTAACGTATGTGGTTCTGTAATTTACAGCTATCATTTGCAAATTGCACATATAAATCTATCATTAATGTGGATTAAACCAAAAGAGGTCTTTACTGATCCCTGAGGTTGGTTGCATGAAACTGCAGAAACGTTTTTGTAAACTTTCTTATGCAAATAACAAATAGCGAGTATAAGTTCTTTAATGACTTTCATTTTTGTTTCAGGGGGAACATTAAAAATCTATGGTGAAGCGTTATGTCGGGACGTTCCCTACAAAACTCTACTCTTGTCAATCAGGGATACTGCTGGTATTGTAGTTCGAGAAATGCTCGATAAGTACGGGTTACATAAAGCAGATCCATCGCAATGGTGTCTAGTTCAAGTTACCTCTTTGTCAGGAACTCCGGATACGGAATATGTATTAGAAGACGATGAATGCCCCTTGTCTATACTAATGACATCGTCTAATACAAGTAAGTAACTGTTTCAAATCAAACGCAGATGTTTCCTTTCATAGCGAACTTGGTGCTCGGACGCCTAGATGTCGCCATCGTACTATTGGGGTACGAAAAGCATTGCATGTTAACTTTCTCAATTATAAATTATGCAGTACACCTTTGAGGAGTACAATTTTTTCGTGTAACGATAAATTATAAAGCGTATTTGTGAAAGAGCTACGGGCACCAATTTACCGCCCGGCCGCACGCAATTTACCTACTCCTAATCCGGTTTTACAATCGTTTACCTATTTAAATTTTACCTAGCGATAGATCCTAATTTTGGAATGACCAATTTAAATCGCGTATCTTCTTAAGATTAAGAGGCCGATTAAGGTTTTAACGATTCTGGCGCATGCTTCACCTACCAAACAACGCGATGCGAGAACGTCATTCCGTGGTTATACGGCCTTTTGCGAGGGTGGGTGTCTTTGTTCGTCGGTTTATACATTTCTTCACTTATCACATCGCAATTCCGTCGTAACAAAATGAAGAAGCATTTTGGAATTACATTTTTATCGTCACGGGACCAATTTTTCTTACGCGCTTCATTCGATTTTGCACGTTCTAAAGTGATTTTTGCTCGATTTTTCAGCAAAATGTGAATATAATCACGTAAAGGGAATGGTAGTAAATCATAATGTTGGACTGGGGTATTAGACGTACGTATATTTTTATTAATTATATTAATATAAGTTTATAAAATCAACGCTCAAAAGATGGTGGCCGACTTCAAATAAAATAACTTGTTTCTTATCCAGCCAGTTAATTTATTATCTTACATTTTTTTAAACCAGTCACGTTTTGCCTGTTCTACTCCTTGACCAGTTTTCTGTTTTTATTGCTTATAGTAATGGAGTAAACAGTTTTTAAATCTGATATATTCTAACCGCCTTTGAATTTGAAATAAATACATAAAACAAAGTTGTACCTAGGTAATTGCGTTCCCTAATGACATGCGAACTCAATGACTTTTTAAGGGCCGTGAGAAAATTAGCGAACCGAATCATTCCGCTTCAAATTTCCTGTATTCACCCCTCGAACTTAAACGCTAAACGCCGATATTTTTATTGTTTCAGTTAGTAATTTAGAAAGCTTTATTTGAACTTTCATTGTAGCTACGGCCGTGACTTGGCAACAAATTACCGAGAGGCAGCTAAGCAAAAAGTCCATACACCTACACAATAACTACCTGCTTAATTTTTAATAAATTGAAATCGACGTTTAGCCACTAAACGCCACGTGGGGATAACGACCAGAAAAAGTAAAGCACATTCGTGAACATTAGGGACAATAAAAAAAGTCACCCTTAATTTTGGCGGTGCAGGTATCATTATTTATCAATTAAAACAATTTTCTGACGGAGTTTATTGGCACTTGCGCTCTTCCTCCATAGTTACCGGTTACTATTTAAAAATTATTGGCAATATAATCGATGATAAAAAATGAGAGAATGCTAGAAACAATTAAGCTATTTTTTACAATGCTTTTATAATTGGGGACATTTTCCATTACTTCCAACCACCCTAAATTGCCCAATGAATAATTTATGTTATCAACTGACGCATGCGACACCTAATTTTTTACTTTCATTTGGCTTCGTGATCGTCACCCCTTACCATTATTCGAATCAATTAGTGGTTTGTTAGGTGGCGATCTTAATCGCCCATTTTTATCTTTTTTACTTAGAGCGATCGCTGATTGCATTGATTGCAATGTTCATTTTGCGATTTAAGCGAGGTCCACCATGCAGTCTTCAAAGCAAGTAGTGTACAAATTTGTTTGAAATGCAATGGAAAGGTCACGAATAGAGGTGAAAATGTTGGCGATAAGTGGAAATACAGCCGCAAAGTGAACAGAGAGCATCAGTCAGTGTTACCACTGTTCCCTACTCGCATTTTAAGGGAAATCACTCAACCGTTGTATCGCCTAAAATATACTTTTCCGCACTCATGGATCTCTGGATTCTGTGCCCCAAATTAATAGGGTTCATCTACGAGACAAACTTAACACTATACAACATCTGTTGGGCAAAATATACATTATTACATTATTATTATACAGGGTGTATCTTTTCGAGCGATAAAACTGTTCACCACGTGATTCCGCATTATTTTTTAGTAAAAAAGTCTAATAAACATTTTCCTCTAGATGAAAATAATGTGGAATCATGCAGTGAAGAGTTTTATCGCTCGAAAAGATACACCCTGTATATAGTATCAATATGTATCATTTGTAAGTTGAGTTTAACCCCGCCGATGAATGCGCTTTGTTGACATCTATTATTTTCCGACTCAAATTTTCGAGATATTCACATCTAAACTCCTTGAAACTCACTTCTGCGCCTGCGCGCACGCAGTTTTTGACATATTTAATATACTCGACCAATTTGGTTTTAATACAGAGGTACTTCTGTGGTTAAATTGCAACAAGATCGATCTGTAATTAAGGAAGTCACTTGTGCACATGCACAAAATGATACGGCCTACCGGTTTGTTAAATTAATAGGTGTCGTCTCCAAGAGGCGATAGATCCGTCTGCAAAAATTGACGAAATTTGACTCATTAAATTTTGAGTTGTTATTCTAACAAATAACTGAGAGTCAAATTTTGTTATCATTTTCCCTAGTTTCAATGGTCGGAAATGGACGGTTCCCTTTAGCACCTTGTATGGGCACTTTTTTCGGAGAACCTGAATCTTTTATCGGAATTTCCATAGCACGCTAAATGTAGAAGTTACAGGCTACCTACTACTTTCTTGTTGCTTAAGGGCGCCATATTGGATTTTTACGGTTAGGAGACATAGGACAAAAAAAGATAAATAATGACGTGTCACACTCTATACTTTTATATCGAACGGAAGGACATATACAGGGTTTCTATTAAAGATGGAACCAAAGTCCTCACGCTCAAACCGTTTGAGATCTAAACATGAAAATTGGAACGCTTTCATTTGAAATTATTTCACATATTTTTTTTACCACATGAGTTTGTGCGAGTGAATTTTTTAAATACCTAGCAACATTTCTTTACTACCTTAAACGTGTATGGTGTATGTGTGTTAAATTAGAAAATAATGCAGAAAAATTAGAAAAATCTTGCCATACGCTTGACTGGCTACTATTGTATTACGTGAGAAATAAATCATAATTTTGTGAAATACGGATCAAGAGCTTTTAAAGCGTTTAAAAAATTAAAGATGGCGGTCGCACTCAAAAATTATGTGCAAAATCGCCATCGCATTTTCTTCAAACTTCCTCGAGTCTTGGAATCTTCTCGGGATCTTTTGAAACCGAGTTCGAAAGGCTAAAACAGTCAGAATGGTTATAATCGTTTGAGGGCCATCTTAAGATCTTCTTGGCGTCTTAGAACCTCTGAATTTCTACAATATCGCTCACTCAGAATTTTCTTAGTAGTTTCTTTCTCCCTAGGTTTTCCATTCTTCGTGGAATCTTGTTGATCTTGGAATTTTCTTCCGTTTTCCTTAAAAACCCTCTAGAACCTTTCTATAGTTTCAGAACCCTTAAATTTTTATTTGAAATGTTAGAATTATTTTGAATTCTTTCCGCTATAAAAGGCGAAGTATAAAGTCGGTAGTCACTTAGTCAGTAGTCTACTTGAACTTCTTGTAAATTTCTGTGAGATCCTTAATATTAAATGAGCTTTGTGAATTATCATTCTCAAATTACCTACCAAGAAAAAAATACTCAAACACTCAACAATAAAAGCCTCAAAAAATTAAAAGTATTGTGAATTATCATTCTCAAATTACCAAGAAAAAAATACTCAAACACTCAACAATAAAAGCCTCAAAAAATTAAAAGTAAAGATACAGTTACAGATTTTAATATAGTAACTAGTTTCAGATACAGTTACCTTCACAGATTATCGAGATACTTAGCAATTACAAATAATTATTTGTTGGCTTGGAATAAATAACTAGTGCCCAGTTACATAAAAAGTTTCTAGATACATTACAGCATTGTACCTTCCAGAGGCCGGCATCCCCCCCATTAGAAGTGGTTCAACCCCGGATTCAACAGGTCGAGGGTGGTACCGTTCAGTGGTCTCGTCGATATTCCTTTTCCTCTGTTGACACTTCCGATATGCTACGGTACTCACGGTACTACGGTCCGCACAAGGGGCATCAAACTTAAATAATTTAATGAGCGGAATAAGGATTACAATTTAATTAGAAGAAAAATCAAATTTACAAATTATTAAGTAGCAGTAGTCGACGGCAACGTGGATGTGATGCCAGCAGAACGAACGGACAGACAGGCGGACTCGAGCCGCCAAGGGATACGGCCTTGCACCTAGTCAAGGTCGACGGTAGTAGCGGTTTGCGGAACGGTTTCGGAAGCCTTAGATAAACTCAGTCAGAGTAAACGGATGTTCCAGGAATCAGTTGAGCTCAGCAAATGGCGGCGGTCACTTCGTAAGCACTAAAACAAAATTACTGCGCACGCCCCATACGGCAAGCCCTCTAGTGGGAATGAAAGCAATAAAGCACAAATTTATTATCGGTGTCTACAGGAAAACAAATGCAGGATAGCGAAACAATGGCCCGTATCAATAAAAGTAAGCAAATGCTTATACTATGCGATCAAAAATGAGTTGCTGTCGAGTTGCCTTTGAAATTTTTGTTTACATGGAAAATCGTATTTCACTTGAACTTCCAAAGGCGACTCGACAGCAACTCATTTTTGATCGCCCGTTACTTGCAAAATTCAAAGTAAATACTCGTAAGTGCTCCTTCGCAGTGGGCGACTTAGCATCGCTTCTAAGCAGAAGGACAGGACGCAGTGCAGCGCTGCTAAACCATGCTAAACAGACCAGTATGAAGGGGCATGTTACGAGTATTTACTTTGAATTTTGCAAGTATAAGCATTTGCTTACTTTTATTCATACGGGCCAATATTATAATTAATCGAATAGAAAGTCAAAGTAGCAAATGTGCCGAAAGTGTCATAAAAT